GTGACACACGCACATGCGCTCGGCTTGAGTTTAAGCCACTGGGTCTGGAACTCGAATTGCCGTCAACAACATGAGAGTCCAGCGACACAGCCATTATGTCAACTGCTGGTCCCAATTCTGTCTATATTTTTTATTTCATTGATGAAAATGAAATATTTAAAAAGTTTGGGGACTAGAAAAAAAGTGGGCATCATCCTCAAATTAATCCACAGATCCTTAGTCAATTGGCTCTTCTTAAAAACTCCCAAAGTTGAACCAGCAGTTAGCTTAATGGCTATGTCGCTGGACTCCCACGTAGTCGATCGTGGTTCGCGTCCTGGACCCGGTGGCTTAAAACTCACGCCGGGTGCGTGTGCGTGCGTGCCCAAGATCCCGAGAGGAGAATGGAGGAGAAGGGATTGCAGCGTGACCATCCCCCCTGGGGGGTGATTTCTCGCTTTCTGTCTCTATGTCTCTGTCTGTCTGGCGAGTGCACGCGCCCTATAGCAAAAATCTCTCCAAAAGAAACCCCAAAACAAAACAAAACAAAAAACTCCCAAAGTTTACATACTATGAGGACTTTCCTTTTAATCAACAAACAAGCCATAATTTGTCTAAGTAGTCTCCAGAAATATTTACCTTTCAAAGAGGCTCATTTCTTGTTTGCTAAGATAAGAAACTTCCTTGTTCTTGGAATACATGTGGGTGAGTGCATGACAGGATATTTTTTGAGGCCGCACACAGTAGAAGACTTCTTGGTCTCGAGCATCGAGGTACTGGCACAAATCGACACTTGTATTTACAGTCAGGCCACATTCAGAGAGGACCTGGGAGGTGCCATTGTTAAAATGGCCCATGAATATTATCTTGTCATAGCCTTGGTTCCTTGCCCTCCAGAGAGCTGATGCCCCTTCACTGGGGTGCATGAGCAGCAGAGACAGGGAGACCTGGCCCTCCCAGAACAGAGTGAAGCTGACAAGGTAGGTGCCATTGTTGAAGTCAGTCACTTTTCCTGAAGCACCTGCCTTCAGGTCTTGAGAGGACATCCTAGCCCTCAGGAAATCCCCGCCATATTCCTTCCTGCGTCCCAAGTGGTCCCTCACCTCCAGCAGGATGTCCAGCTGATCCCCCCTGCAGTATGTGTCTCGAGGGTTGAGGATGGTGGCTGTGCTGTGCTTGGCGCTGGTGGTGGTGTTCACATCAGTAAAAGGTCTGGGTGGTAAGAGCTGGTTTAGTTTCTCCATGATTTCCTTTATTCTCAGCTTAGTCTCTGCTGCTGAAACTACTGGACACAATGGTGCTTCAGGGCAAGAGGACTTTGTTGTGATATTGCGATGGTGACAGATGGGCAACTTGGGTCTACTCTGTAGCTGAATAGATAAGAACATAGAAAAAGTTTCTGTTTAATATTTTTTTGGTGGTTTAGTCAACTTTTATTTATTTATTTATTTATTTATTTGAGAGTTTTTTTTGCTATAGGGCGTGTGCGCTTACCAGACAGAGAGAGACATAGAGACAGAAAGCGAGAAATCACCCCCCAGGGGGGATGGTCACGCCACAATCCCTTCTCCTCCATTCTCCTCTCGGGATCTTAGGCACGCACGCACACGTGCCCGGCGTGAGTTTTAAGCCACCGGGTCTGGGACGTGAACCACGGTCGACTATGTAGGAGTCCAGTGACACAGCCATTATGCTAACTGCTGGTTCCCTCAACTTATATCTTTTACAGAGTAATCAGAAGTATAAAAATAAAATAATAGTGATATTATGGTCATATATACTTTATAGGTAAAACTCTTTTCTTTAGAAAATCTGGTTGTCTAACTCTACTTCTCACTGGCTAATCTATTTTGGAAGAGCTATTTTAACCCCCAAAAGTCCTAAGATCTTCTTTATTAAAATGCTAGTAAACTACCTTACAGGGTTGTGAAGATTAAATGAGAGGATGTGTTTTGACTATATATAAGAGAACAATTTCTCATTGTTCTATATTGCTTTTATCTTAAAGCTAAAATTCAGTCAAAATAATCTCAGACAAACAAAAGTTGAGGGTGTTCACCATCACCAGCCCTGTCTTATAAGAAATGCTAATGGAATTCTTCAAGCTGAAAGAAAAAAGATGCTAATTGTAACTAAAGAATTATGAAAGTTACTGATAAAGCTAAGTAATGTAGTTAAATTCAGAACACTCTAATATGGTAATGATAATGTATAAATCACTTATATATTTTGTTTGAAGATTTGAAAAAGAAACTATTGAAGACAGTAATAACTGCAGCAATTTGTTTAGGGATGTACAATATAAAAATACATAAATTGTGACATTAAAAATTTTAAGTGTGAGTGGAATAAAACTGAAGTTTAAAAAATGAAATCAGGGACCTCCCTGGGGTGTGATTTCTCACTTTCCTTCTCTCTGTTTCTTTCCAATGACCACATGCACCATATGACAAAAACCTAAAACAAACACAAATTTAAAAAAAAGAAAGAAAGAAAGAAAAAAGGAAAAAATCCAGTCAAAGTTAACTTGTTACATCTCAGCATAGCCTGTTACAACTGTAAGATGGTTTTTGTAAGCCTCATGGAAACCACAGAAAAAAACCAATACTGGATACGTAAGAGACTAAAAAGTAAGAAATCAAAGCACATTGCTAGAGAAAATCACCTAATCACAAAGGAAGAGAGGAAGAAAAGAACAAATATTCTGCAAAAACAACCAGAAAAAGAATTAGAAAAATGTCAGTAATAAGTCCTTACCTATCAATAAAACCTTGAATGTAAACAGATTCGTTTTGTTCATAAAAAGACAGAAAGAGACTGAAAATATTAAAGAAGAAGAGAAGAAGAAAAGAAGAAGATTCAACTATATTTTACCATTAAGAGACTTATTTCACCTTAAGGACACACCTAGACTTGAAAGTGAAGGAATGGAAAAAGTTATTCTAAGCAGATGGAAGCCAAAAGTGAGAAAGAATAGCTATACTTAAAACATAAAATAATCTCTTAGTCAAAAACTGTAAAATGAGACAGGTAAATACATCAAAAAGATGTAACAAGTGTAAATAATACACATGCAATATTGGAGCACCTAAATATATAAAGTAAATACTAATAGAACCGAAGAGAGAAAGAGATTGTAATACGGTAATAGCAGGGTATTTTAAAGTCCACTTTAAACAATAGACAGATCATCCAGACAGAAAATCAATACGGAAACATTAGACTCACACTACACTTTAGACCGAATGGACCTAACATACATACCGAACATTTCCTCAAACAGCAGCAGAATACACAGTCTCCACAAGTGTCTTCAGAACATTATTCAGGATAGATCATATGTTAGGGTACCAAACAAGTCTTAAGAAATTTAAGCAGACTTAAATAATATCAATTATTTCTTCAGGCCACCATGATATAAAACTAGAATTCAGTAAGAGAAGGACTTTAGGAAAATTCACAAATACATGCAAGTTAAATAACATGCTCCTGAAAGTCAGAGGGCCAAAGAAATTAAGAGGGACATTCAAAAATGTATCAAGAAAATTGAACATGGAAACACAATATACCAAAACTTATGTGATGCAACAGAAATAGTTCTAAAAGGAAAATGTATAGCAATAAATGCCTCTATCAAAAAAAAAAAAAAAAAAAGAAAGTTCTCCTATAAACAACATAACATTACACCTCAAAGAATAAGGGAAAAAAAGAACAAACTAAGCCAAAAATTAGCAGAAGGAAGGAAACAATAAAGATCAGAGCAGAAATAAATAAAATAGAAACCAGATGATTTTATGATTAGAAACTCTCAACAAATTAGGTAGGGAAGCGATATGTTGTCAACACAATAAAGACAAACCTGTAGTTAACCTCATACTAATAGTGAAGTTTTAAAGATTTCCCTCTAAGATCAGGGAAAAGAGAAGAATTCGCATTCTCACCACTTGTACTCCACATAGTATTGGAAGTTTTAGAACAAGAAATTAGGCAATAAAAAGAAATAAAAGCTGTTGGAATTGAAAATTAAAAAATTAAGTTGCCCCTGTTTACTGATGACATTATTTTATATATAAAAACCCCTGATGACTCCACCAAAAGAAAGTAAAAAAATAAAAAACTGTTAGAACTGATAAAAAAATTCAAGAATGTTGTAGGATATAAAATCAATGTAGAAAAACCAAGAGTATTTCTATACATTAAAACAAACTGTCCAAAAAAAAGAATCAAGAAAATAATCCTCTATGCAACAGCTACTAAAGAAAAAGAAAGAAAGAAAGTAAAAGAAAAAGAAAAAAAATACTCAGGAATATTAACCAGGGAGGTTAAAAACTACACTGAAAACTACAAAATGTTGAAGGAGAAAAAGGAAGAGGACACAAATAAATGGAAATTTATCTCATGTCCATGAATTGAAAGAATTAATATTGTTAAAATGGGCATACTACTCAATGCAATCTATGCAATACCCATCAAAATTTCCAAGTTTTCACAGAAATAGAAAATTTCCTAAAATTTATATGGAGCCACAAAAGACCTCAAATGGTCAAAGCAACCTTGAGTTAAAAACAAAAGATGGATGCATGGATGCATCACACTATTTGGTTTCAAAATATACTAAGGCATATTAGTATTAAAAAAGGTACTGTTGATATGTGATATAAAAACAGATAGGCCAATGGAACAGAACAGAGAACCCAGAAATAAATCCATGTACTTACTGTCAATTTATCTTTAACAAAAGTACTAAGAACATACAATGGGAAAGGGAACATACAATGGGAAACTACTGGATATCCAGATGCAGAAGAAAGGAATAGAATCCTATATCACACTTTATGTAAAAAATCAACCAGAAGTAGATTAAAAACTTAAATATAGTACTGGAAAGTATGAAACTACTAGAAGAAAATAGCAGAGAAAAGCTCTATGACATTGGTCTGGAAAATTATACACACACACACACACACACACACACACACACACACACACATACATACACACACAAAAAGCACAAGCAACAAAAGAAAAAAAATAGATGAATGGGATTACATCAAACTGAAGAGCTTCTGTACAGTCAAGGAAACAATCAATGGAGTGAAAAGACAACTCACAGAAAGAGAGAAAATATTTGCAATGTGTTTATTTTACAAAAGGTTAAGATCCAAAATATATAAGATCTCAGACAACTGAATAAGAAAACAAGCCAATCAAATAAGCATTTCCCCAAAGAAGACATACAAATGATCAACAGGTATATGAAAAGATAACTGCCACTAATTATCAGAAAAATGCAAATTAAAAGCATAATAAGACATCTTTCGCATGTTAGAATGGATATTATCAAAAAGATGAAACATATTAAGTGCTATAAGGATTTGGAGAAAAGAGAACCCTTGCACATTGTTGGTGGGAATGTAAGTTAGTATAACCATTATGGAAAACAGTATAAAACTAGCTCAAAAAATTAAAAATGAAACTACCATAAGACCCTGAAATCCTACTAACAGGTATATATTCAAAAGAAATAAAATAAGCATGTCAAAGATATCTGTATTCTCAGCCTGGTTCTTAAATGGTGTGTAAGCTTGCTGAAGCTTCCCAACTAACATCTGTAGGTCTCTTGGATTTTTCTAGAATAATTGAGGTGTCTATTGAAAATATCCTTTTGTAAAACATACGATGCACTCAATTCCTACCTTTGAGGCATTTTGGAAAATTGTAATAGTAGTCCAGGAAACTAATATAAACAGCAGTGCCAATAGTGATTTATGATTTGTCACACTGATTAGGATCCTGCAAGAGATGATATGAAAACAAATACACAAATATGTAATAAAACAAAACAAAAATAAACATAGAAATACATAAAAGACTTATATCTCTAATTTTAATTTTTCTCTTTAGATAAGTTATTCTCAGAACTAACTCTTGTCCCTTGTCCATCCCAGCTTCTCATGGTGGCTTCTAGTTGCTGTCTTTTGGCTGTCAGCTTGTAGATTCTGCTGCTCCTCAGCTTCTATATTCTATAGGTGAGATATATTGTGGAGTCTACCATGAGTTCTAAAAAAACTGAGCAGCTAAGGGGCTATGAGATGCAGGGTTGCTCATATTTAAAGTCTCCAGACTATTTGGCACTGAACATTCTTTTTCTCTAAACATAAAAATGCATACACAAAATAGATCAACAAATATTGACACTGAGAACCGTATTATTGCAGTGCCCTTTCAATGTCGATTGGTTTGCCAGCTTCTATAATTTCAGTCTGTTAATGTGTTCTCCTTTTTTTGACTTTTCAACCTTTGAAGCACCCTTCAATTTTGAAAAAAAAAAAAAAAAAAAACGTTAAAAACTCATATTTATTACTTTCCTCTAAAAATTTTCATGCTTCATTAAAGTTTTTCTATTATTCATCTTAATATTTGTCCTAGTCCTAGAATTTCAAGTTACTTTTAAAATCAGATTGCTTGAATGCTGGCTGCCCTTCTAAAATTTTCCACCCTTCAAAATAAACTCCAAAATTCCCTAGATCCCCTGTTTATACATAGACAGTGGTAGTGTCTGTTACTCTTCCCTCACCTTTCCTACCTTGCAAATATTATCATATGTTTAGCTTAAAGACTTTGTTCAATCCCACGTACAGGAACTCTTGTGAGCTGGATACTGAGGCTTTCTTCTGAAGCCACCGTGTGCTACTGGGATACTTCTCCTTTATACTAAAACAAAATAACAAGTGTAGGTTGCAGTCTGGAGTTGAAGCTTGGATTCAGTCTTCTGTTTGTTTCAGCTAAGATATATATGTCAGGCATGCCAGCTCCGCCTTTAGGAGGGGCTGGATTATAAACTAGTTATCAGTTCAAAGTGAAATGAAATACTCTGCAGAGTGGATTAGACGATTTTCATGTCCTGAGACTGTATGAGTCTAATTCTAGTAAGTGTATAATAAGTACCTGAAAAAGAGTGAATGAAGTTGGAAGTTTGAATGACTGAGAGTTCAGAGTCATCCATGGGGATTTGAACTTCCTAGTTTTCAGCTGAGTCTTTTCATCAAGACCCAGTTAGCAGGATTGAAGTGCATATTATATCACAAATAGTAAGTACTCAATAGGATTCACTGAATTGAATGGAAAGAACTTCAACTATAATGTCCGTAAGACGATAGTATTGATTACACAGGCCAACAGAGTGATGGTTTACACTCATAGATTTGGCTATATCTGGGATTTGTAGCCTTGATCTGAAAACCACAATGCCAGAAAAACCATGTGCCCAGGATGGATGCGTTAATGCTCCCAGCAAGCAGAAGCTGGTCACCATGTGACTCCCTCCTTCAGTGTTATTTGTGCTGACCCACACAGGAGGTTAAAAGTGTTTAAATATACCCATCCACCCTTCCAGTCTTACTTTGAAAACGACTTTTAAAACAAGTTTTATGAGGATATTCCATATTTTGATAAACTTTCCAACATTCTTGATTGTGCTCTAGAAACTAGCCTTAACATTTCTTCTTTGTGTGTGTACATGGTAATCTTTGTCTATTTATTTTTTTTTGAGAGATTTTCGCTATAGGGCGCGTGTGCTCGCCAGACAGACAGAGAGAGACATAGAGACAGAAAGCGAGAAATCACCCCCCAGGGGGGATGGTCACGCCGCAATCCCTTCTCCTCCATTCTCCTCTCGGGATCTTGGGCACGCACGCACACGTGCCCGGCGTGAGTTTTAAGCCACCGGGTCCGGGACGCGAACTGCGGTCGACTACGTGGGAGTCCAGCGACATAGCCATTACACTAACTACTGGTTCCCTACATGGTAATCTTTGGAAAGCTGTTTTAACTTATTTTTGGTTCAGGTTGTGTGCACTTGCCAGAGAGAGCAGAGAGAAAGAGAGAGAGAGAGAGAGAGAGAGAGAGAGAGAGAGAGAGAGAGAGAGAGAGAGAGAGAGAGAGAGAGAGAGAGAGAGAGGAAGTGAGAAAGAACTCTTCAGAGGGAATGACCACACCAAAATCCCTTCTCCTCCATTCTCCTCTCAGGATCTTGAATACACACTCACATGCACTTGGCATGTTTATGAAACTGCCAGGTCTAGGACTTGAACTGCACATTGACCATGTGGGGGGACTCACCTTAACCAGCACACCAACTGTCTGGCCTGATTTTAACCTTTTCTAACTGCTCTAAGGAGCCTATAATTAGATTTTGCCTTAAGGATCCTATAATAAGGGAAACTTATTTGCTGTGAGTTTGATTTGGCTGCTCCTTAGCATACTGATGCCAGTGGGCATCCGCGTTCACAGCCTGCTTGGAGACACATCAAGTTATAGATTTTAATCTGCGTTAGCCACACAAATTTAATATGGAATGTTAACCCGGCAACTTTTTCTGTGGTAGGCATAATATCAATATATTAATAGATGATACTATAGGCTTGACTTAAAGAACTGAGAGCACAGAAAAGAGCTTAAGTGACTTGCCCAGATCATTTAGTGAGGTTTGAAACAGGGCCGAGTCTAGGATTTTTTAATTCAGGATTTCATTTTGATCTCTGATTTGGAGTACTTCTTGTTACTCTGCGTGGCTCCAGACATGATGCAATCGAGTTCAGGTAGATCTTAGGTTCATATATTTAATGTCCATTATGCTTAAAAGAAAAGTTTTTTTTTCTCCCAAGCCATGTTTTCCCTTAAATGGCTCAGAAGCCCAGTGTGAGCAAGATATATGGGCCTCTAGCGTGCTGTCTTTGCAGTTAATGTGCAGTTTCATCATCATCTTTGAGTGAGTAGTTTCCTTTCCTCTAAATAAATGGGGGAAACACCCCCCCCCCCCGCCCCAGGGTGTGATTTCTCTGCAATTCTTTTCCTTCCATTTCTTCATACTGTCAGGAACTTAATCGTGGGTAGGATAATGGAGCCTTGAGTTTACATAATAAAATATAATGCAAGAGATCGTTGGTTTTTTTGAGATAGGAGTAGGGCAAGCAGGGAGCTGCCCAGATTCTAAAAGAGCCCATGTGGAAGGGGGCAGACTGTTAGCACAAAGCAAATGAAGGAGCAGGTGTCCAGGGAATATTCACTGGAGGTAAAACCACAAGTTAGGGAAACCACTACTGTGGTTTCAAGAAGCAAACAAAATGTGCCCCATCACCAAGGAGCCTCAACTGCAAGGTGGAAAGTCTCATTTTGAGTACAAATCTATTTCTACCAATACATTAATTTCAAAATGAGAAACAGTAACTTCATATTGAACAGTAATTTGTGATCAAGATTCACATCCCTAGTAATAAGATATATTATTTCATGAATGCTCTATTAAGAAGGGTACACTATTTTTGTAGTATTCTTGACCAAAATACATAACTTCCATCTCATTGTGAGAAAATTGTGGATCGAAAAACATTGAGGGAGAATCTACAAAATAACTGACAGCTCTTCAATACTTTTTTTTTTTTTGTAGAGGTTTTTTTTCACTATAGGGCACGTGCGCTTGCCAGACAGACTGAGAGAGACAGAGAGACAGAAAGCGAGAAATCACCCCCCAGGGGGGATGGTCACGCCACAATCCCTTCTCCTCCATTCTCCTCTCGGGATCTTGGGCATGCACGCACATGTACCCGGCGTGAGTTTTAAGCCACCGGGTCCGGGACGCGAACCGCAGTCGACTACGTGGGAGTCCAGCGACATAGCCATTACACTAACTGCTGGTTCCCAATACTTTTTAAAAGCATCATGATCATGGAAAACAATGTAAGACTAAGGAACTATTGCAGATTGAAGACATCTAAGGAAACATGATGACTAAATGCTTTGTGGGATCCTGGTTTGGGTCCTGGAAAAGAACCATTTTAGTGAAAAAAATGAATGTGATCCAAATAAAGTCTGTAGCTTAGCTGATAATCACTGATGTCCCAATATTAATTCTTTTAATACTTTATTTAGTTTTACCGTTAGTCAGAAGGTGCATGCACTCACCCGACAGAGAGAGAGGCAGAGAAAGAGAGAGAGAGAGAGAGAAAGAAAGAGAGAGAACCCCACTCCCTCTGGAGTGTGGTCACACCACAATCCCTTCTCCATTTCTCCATCTTGTCAGGATTTGGAGGCATGCATGCACACATGCCAAGCATATTTTTAAAAATAAGTATTTATTTAATCATTCATTTATTTTTGAAATTTTACCAGAGAGGAACACACAGAAAGAGTGAGAGAGAAGGAAAGTGAGAAAGCAAGCCACCAGGTCTGGGATTCGAACCATGGTCGGCCACATGGGAGTGTCCAGCACCTTAACCAACATGCCACCTGCTGGTCCCATCCAGCATATTTTTTTTCAAGGTGCCAGAGCCAAGACTTGAACAGCAGTCAGTTATATACAATACAATTTAAATTAACCACTAGCCTATAGGGCCAACCCTTAAAATTATTTTCTATTCCCAGAAAAATGTGTGTGTGTGTGTGTGTGTGTGTGTGTGTGTGTGTGAGAGAGAGAGAGAGAGAGAGAGAGAGAGAGAGAGAGAGAGAAAGCAACCCCCAAGGGGCGTGATCACTCTGCAGTTCTTTTCCTTCCATTTCTTCATACTGTCAGGATTCTGGGTATGTATGCACATGCACCTAGCCTGTTTTTCAGGGGCTGAGATTAGAATTGTGGTTGACCACATGGGGTCTGGCTTCCAATGCACAGCACTTGACCTCTGCACTGTGGGGCTGGCTTTAGTCTTCCAATTAAAATGTTAACCTGCCTAGAAACGCTCTTACAGAAATGTCCAGAATAATATTTGAACAATTATCTGTGTACCCTATGGCTTGGTCAGGTAGGTCATGCTTTTAGTGTCTCACTTTTCTCTGTTGTATTATGAGGACTGTGATGAGATCAATCTCCAGGGGCTGTTGTGAAAATTAAATGAAACAACTAATGTAAAATGCTTAATAGGGTGAACACTGTTCCATGTATGCTATTATTATGATAATTATTTTCTTTTCTTGCTAAAGGGCACATGCACTTATGAGAAAGAGAAAGGGAACTCCTCCCATAGGGCATGGACATGTTGCAATCCATTTTCTCTATTCGCCCTTCCTGTCAGAATTTTAGGCATGTACACACATGTGCCTGGTGTGTTTTTCAAGCTACCAGCGCTGAGATTTGAGCCATGGTCAGTCATGTGGAATTCAGCTCCCAATGCACAGAACTTAATCGCTGTGATATGGGGCTGGCCCTACTATTAAAATTCTTGTCAGGAAGTAAAAGTTCTGGAATCATTCCTAAAGCAAAAGGAGGAGATGGAAGTGAAGGATATTGTAGAGACTGAATTGACTTGTTGAGTGAATACAAAGGATGAGAAAGAGTTGGGTCAAGAACAGCTCTCCATGCTGAGACTCCAGGGTTGGCAGAGTGGTGGCACCTGTGAGGCACTGGAATGTCTGCACTTGGCCTTTAAAAGTGGCCTATTCAGGTCCAGCACAGTCCATTTCAGACCGCAAGCCCTGTGATGCTAATTAACCACTTCTCCATGGGAGTCTGAAATCCATATGATTTTGCGAAGTCTGAATTTTCAATATTCTTAAAAATACAGAGCAAACAAGACATGACTGTGAGGTACAAATTTGCAACCTTTGTGAGAGATCTTCAGAGTTCTACTGCTGTAGACTCATCACTCTGCAGTCCATAGTGCTTTGCACCATTTTACTGTTTGGATGAATAAATTTTCCACAAAAGGGTTTCCTAAGAAGAGTACATATCAGTACTGACTGGTTTTATAAAGTTTCAAACTTAGAACGTGTTTGGAGAAAGGGGTTTCAAAGCATCGTGGTCTGGTTCTAGCTTCAACCATTTAAGATTAAAGAGTCAATGGGACCAGCAGATGGCGTAATGGTTATGTCACTGGACTTCCATGTAGTTGACTGTGGTTCGAGTTCCAGACCCGGTGGCTTAAAATTCACACTGGGTGCATGTGCATGCATGCCTAAGATCTTGAGAGGAGAATGGAGGAAAAAGGATTGTGGTGTGGTCATCCCCCCTGGGGATGATTTCTTTCTTTCTGTCTCTGTCTCTCCAGCAAGCACATATATCCTATAGCAAAAAATCTCTCCAAAATAAAAAAGATTAGAGGTTCAAAAAAGGAATGTAAGCAGAGATTATAAACATATTGTATAAAAACTGGACCCCAGGGACCAGCAGTTAGCGTAATGGCTATGTCACTGGACTCCCATGTAGTCGACCACGGTTCAAGTCCTGAACCCGATGGCTTAAACTCACGCCAGGCACATGTGCGTGCGTGCCCAAGATCCCAAGAGGAGAATGGAGGAGAAGGGATTGCAGTGTGGCCATCCCCCCTGGGGGGTGATTTCTCGCTTTCTGTCTCTCTGTCTCTCTCTGTCTGTCTGGCGAGCGCACACGCCCTATAGCAAAAACCTCAAAAAAACAAACAAACAAACAAAAACTGGACCCCAGACATTGATTGTTTAAGGAAGCAGCAGTGTTGTCTGGGTCTTTCATTTTGTCTGTAAACCAATAGTTTTGTTATATGAGCAATAAAACATCTAGTGTTTCTCTTCTCTTCTGACCCTAGAAGGGCCCTTTAAAAATATTTTATTCTTTATTGCTCATGCTCCATATTGCATTCTCTTTTCTTGCTAAGACTGGCCTCATCCCATTTTTCTTTCCATCTGCCTCTAGAAAGCTCAAGATTCCAGCTTTCCAAGATAAGAGATGGCATCTGCATTTGGAAGGCATGAGGAACTTCCACGAAAGCTTGAGAGATCTTCCAGTTCACCAGTAAGAAGAAGGTGTACCTAGAAAGAGGGCATCTCAGGCAGGGGGGCACACATGCAAAACATGAGGTAGGAAAACCAAGTTGTATTTGGGAATTATAGTGATGCTAGGTGGAGAAGAGGTATAGGATGAAAGAAAGGAGGACAGTAGGCTGCAGACTGGCTTTTAGGATACAACCCATTTTTCCTTTATCTAGCTTTCAAGGCTCTTCTTCCCTGAACATTTCCACCAAGATGCACTCCTTCCACAGATAAAGATACCACTAAAACTACACATAGGCTTTGAATGAAACAGATCTGGGTTCAAATACATGCTCTGCCACTTACAAGCTACAATATTTCAGGAAATGTGTTTAATATCTTTGGATCCCAACGTCCATATTTCTAAAAACGAGGATCAAGTATTTATCTCAAAGAGATGTTGTAATTCATTTTAATGTAATTCATGTAATTTCATGGTTAGTCACATAAAAAATATTTATAATACACTTAACACAGCTCTTGGTTTCTAAACAGTGTAGCACAAATACAGTATAAAATACTGCTCAGTCTTAAAAACAATGAGAACTTCGATTTGATAGAAAATGCACAAACATGGAAGATTTAATCTTAAGGGAAGCAAGCCAGACCATGAAAGAGAGGCATCGTATGTCCCCACTTAATACTGAATGTCTGCACTCTATGGCAGAAGCTGAGAGATTAGATGGTATGAAAGCATGAAGAACAATTGTGGATACCATAGACAGTGTAGGACGAGGGTGAGAAATAGGGTCGGGGCAGTGGGAGGAAGGGAATCAAGAGGGAAAAAAAAAGGCAAATCATTCAACGGACACAAAAATGAGAAGTTATCTGTTGATGACTCTACTATCTTTCGCTGGACTAACACACAGTGTATTCATGCTGGGAAAGTTCACTTTATATGGTATAAAGATATACAGTGATTGAATGTAAAAAAAAATTAAAAAAAGTTTTTGAAAAGCCCTCAATAAATAGTAACTCATAGTGGTAGTGTTCCAAATATCAAATTTCAGTTCTCTGAATGCACTGCACTCATCGTCAGCTGCATAATTTTGTAGATGCTGGGACTTTCATCTGAGATTTCCCTGAAGTCTTCTCTGACCCTCCTACCTCTATCTCTGATTGCAATTGATGCTTCCTTTTTCTAGTACAGAGGTTCTTAATCCAGAGGGTCCCTCAGGAATTCTAGACAGAATTCAGAGGAGTCTGTAAACTTGGATGGGACAATGATTATGCATTTATTTTCACTAACATCCAACTGAAATGCCATGTGTTCTCTGATTTGAATGTAGGTAATAAAGCTCAGCGGTGTTAGCAATATCTAAGATTCATACCAATAGAAATCATAAACATTTCCTATCACCCATTAATCATTGCAAGTATCAGGGAGTGCCATTTACCCTCACCATGACTTTGAAATGATAGTAATTGGACCTATCACTAGATATTATTACTTAATATCAAAAATAGGAAGGGCATATATTTCTATATATTATTAAATCACTTTGAAACTATAATTCGATCTATTTGGCTTCCTTTGTAATCTTATATATTTAAACATTAAAAATTTTTTTTCTTTATTCAAGATGGAGTATATGTGCTTGAGGATGTGAAAGTAAGTAATCCTATTTTTGTTTGTTTTTTGCCACAGTGTGTGTGCTTGCCAGAAAGAGACAGAGAGAGGGATAGTGAAAAATCACCCTCCAGGGGGATAGCCACATTGCAATCTCTTCTTCTCCATTCTTCTTTTGAAATTTTGGGCATGCATGCAAATGTGCCCAGCATGATTTTCAAGTCACTGGGTTCAGAACTCGAACTGCAATCAGCCATGTGGGAATCCCATGACTTAACCACTACACCACCTGCTGGCCCCAGTTCTATATATTTTAATTTATGCACTTAATAACATTTTTTTTTTTTGGAGAGGGTTTTGCTATAGGGCTATAGTCGCTGGACTCCCATGTAGTCGACCGCGGTTCGCGTCCCGGACCCGGTGACTTGAAACTCACCCCGGGCGCATGTGCATGCATGCCCAGGATCCCGAGAGGAGAATGGAGGAGAAGGGATTGCAGCGTGGCCATCCCCCTGGGGGGTGATTTCTTGCTTTCTGTCTTTGTCTCTCTGTCTGGCAAGCGCTAACTGCTGGTCCCAATAACATTATTTTGAGAAAAAATTTATAGATTATGAAATGGTTCCATACACAAACACACACACATACACCTCTGCACAAAGATTTTGAAATGCCTGTCCTAGCACTCACCATAACATGTTTTTCATTAATTTAGGTAAATATGCTTTTTTCATTTACAAGTCAGCCTTTAACCCCAACTTTTACAGATTGAGAAAAATAATTTATAGCCTTATTGACCCATAATTTTCTTAATCAACAAGGGAATATAACATGTGGTTACTTACTATTAGTTGCAGAATATTAGTGCCCAATCAGATAGCCTATTAAACATGTGATTTCTTTAAATTAGAGTTTTGTTCTCTATTCCAAAGATTGTCTTCTTAACATAGTTTTGTTTCCTTTAAAATAAACCTTGGAAGACTTCCAGCTTTAGCCTAGGATATAGATAACTTCAAGGAACATCATCACTCCCTCAGTAACAATAGAAATGCAGATAACCTCCCATATGATCATTTTTGTCTAACTGATCAGAAACTGAGGTCACAGGTCAGCCATCTAACCTAAATTTAAGGGAAGACAGAAAAGAAGGAATGCAAACCATGACTCATTTTTGAATGAGACAGGGGCAGCCATGTATGTGGGTAAAAATATCTTGGATACATTTTAAATGAATTTTAAATGAATCACTAACGCCTAATTGGACAAATGTGAGAGTATAGAACTTCTGGGAGCAACAATATAAAGAGGGTTTATCCCACATACTGATTCTTCTCTTTGGAACTCTACTGAGCACTCACGAGTAAGACTGAGGTCACTGCAATATGCTGGATAAAGCCTCTCTTAAGGCACGGTCTTAGAGGGAGGGGTGGCTACATTGCTGGGAAAGGTACAAAGCTCCTCCAACTCGTGTCTTTCTCCCCTAAGAACAAAAGACTTAAGCTATTGGGGATAGGCAACAAACCTGTGACTCTCAGGCACACGTGAGGATCTACCATGGCTGAGGAAATGAAAAAAAAAAAAAAAAAAAAAGAACTGTGAATTACTCAGGTAAGGCAGAAAGCTGCTCTGGGGGAGAGGCAGGAAACTATCCTTCACCCAGAACATTAGAGATTGTGTAATGCTGTGGGGAAGGGGAAAGGACCACTGAGAAAGCTCCCCATCCCCCCCTGAAAAAATACATAGACTCAAGATTCTCCTACAACTGATGCTGAACCAGAGCAAAAGAGAATCCCATTCGTTCTCCTCATTAAGCTAGGCAGCACCAAGTAAAAAGGAACAGCAGTCTACCATGGGAGGAGAAACAATGGCATAAAGGGATACTCTTTCTGAGACATAGCAAGACTAAGCTAAGGATAAAATAGGGACACCAAGAAAAGGCCGTTGTCAAAACAATACTCACCCTAAGCACCATGTAATGCTAGGTCTAAATAGACATAAATGACTAATTTAAAGTTTGTTAATAAAATGAACCCTCTCCATATTTTTAAAAGAGAAAAGGGGAAATTACTAATTTAAAGTTTGTTAATAAAACGAACTTCTCCATATTTTTAAAAGAGAAAAGGGGAAATCTACTCATGCTGCCAAATCACTTTATTTTAAATGAAATTAAAATTGAATAATCCAAATCTTCCTTTTGATTCAAAATTACATCAGTGAAGTACTACTTAACAACACAAAAACTTCCCCAAACAAAAGTCTTTTTAAAAGATGTCGCCAAATCCAACCTGACAAGGTCCAGCTCCTCTAATAACCTGGGAAAGAGGGATTCTCTCTGTACTTACTACTACATGTCTGGCTTAGATCCCTTCTCCGTGCATGTGACCTACACTTCATGAATTGGCACCAGATGCTGAAAGACCTGATTCAGAACTTTCAGCTAATGCTTCAGAACCAATACAGCAAGAAGAGCAAGAAGAGGGGGAGACTGGTCAAAGCTGACATTAACACTTGGAGAGACATCAAGGCCTTGTCCAACGATGCCCAAACAACGCTGACAGAGATGAACAAAAAACTGATGCTTGAAAAATCTATTTTTTGCCATGAGTGCAAAACTTACTGTAAACTCTAGGATACTTTGTTACATCCTAGTATACCTGTTCCTGTCCCTGCCATCATTTACTGCCTTAAACAATTATTCTTTAGAACTATATTTCTGTTGTTATCTTGGATTATGCAAAGATTTCTCTGATATGATACTATTAGCATAATTCATAAGAGAAAAATGGATCAATTATACTACAACAGAATCTAAAGTTTCTGTTTCTTAAAAGAAATTATTATGAAAATACAATATTTTCTCTGGGCCACTGATGGGAAAAAAAATTGGTAAATCAGGGACTGGCAGTTGGAGTAATGACTATGTCACTAGACTCTCATGTAGTCGACTGCATTTCGAATCCCAGACTCGGTGGCTTAAACTCATGCCAGGCACGTGTGCATGTGTGCCCAAGATCCCGAGAGGAGAATGGAGGAGAAGGGATTGCGGCGTGGTCGTCCTTCTTGGGGAGTGACTTCTTGCTTTCTGTCTGTCTCTCTCTTTCTGGTGAGCGTATGCGCCCTATAACAAAAACCTCTCCAAAAAAAAAAAATTGGTAAATCACATATATGATAAAAGATTTGTCTCCTGAACAAAAAAATATGATGGGACCTTAAGAGGGTCTTGGAAAAATGGAATTAAAGTACGAGTTTATTTTGGTGCAAAAGTATTTTTAAATCCATGCACAATTTTTTCATAATACATTATTTACCATGAACTTTTTGACTCAAATTCAGTAATAATAAAATACAAGCCAAAGCACAAAGTGGGCAAAAGTTTAAACATTTTACCAGAGAAGATATACAGATGGCAAATGAGCATAAGAAAAGATGCTGAATATAATCTATGATTGAAGAAACGGAAAGTAATATCACAATGAGATACTACTACTACATAGTACAAGAATGGTGATTCTGGGGCCAGCAGTTAGTGTAACGGCTATGTCACTGGACTCCCATGTAGTCGACCACGGTTTGCGTCCCGGACCCGGTGGCTTAAAACTCATGCCCGGCGTGTGTGTGTGCGAGTGCCCAAGATCCTGAGAGGATAGTGGAGGAGAAGGGATTGTGGCATGACCATCCCCCCTGGGGGGTGATTTCTCGCTTTCTATCTCTCTGTCTCTCTCTGTCTGTCTGGCGAGCGCACGCGCCCTATAGCAAAAACCTCTCCAACAACAACAAAAAAGAATGGTGATTCTCACTCATTGCTGGTGGGATGCAAAAATGGTACAAACTCTTTGGGAAACAGTTTGACAGTTTCTTATAAAGTTAAAATAGTTAAAACCTAACACACAGTGATACCTCAGCATAGGAATGAAAGCTTATGTTCCCACAAAAACCTGTACATGAATATTTATAGCTGGTTTATTCACAATTGCCAAAAGCTGGAAACAATTCAAATGTCCTTCAACAGGGTAAGCAAGCTGGCACATATTTATATAATGAAACTCCACTGAGCAGTACAAATCTCAAATGCATTTTGCCAAGAAAAGAAAAACACAGACCAAAAAGGCTTATATGACATTTTGGAAGAGGCAAAAATGTAGTGACAGAAAACGGATCAAGGGATTGCTGGGGGCCGCTGTGTCCTTGACGACTAAAGGACATAGGATAATATTGTGGGTGATGGGAGCGTTTGTATCGTATTGTGATGGTTGTCTTACTGTCAAATCTCACAGAACTGCATACTAAAAATAGTGGATTTTACTGTATATAAATTGTACCTCAGTATATTGCCTGAAAGAAAAGATCCAGACAGAATGTCATTTTATACATTCGCTCTCTGTCAAACTGTTGTGCACACACTGAAGAAACAGCTCCTTGAAAGTATAAATTTCTCTCTCTATATCACTTTGTTGGAAAAATCATGATGCATTTTTGTATAGAAAAGCATAGAAAAATATGTCATGACTTTCCTGATGATTTAATATATACAAGGCATTATACGTATTATCTTATATTTCCATTTACTAAACAAAACATAGATTAGAGTTTCCTTGTAGCTGTATGAAATAGTTTTACCACGAAGTTCACATTTTCTTTGTGATAGTGCTATTATCTTGGCAAAATACAGAACATAATATTTAAGATAAGTTCAAAAATATTTGCTTGTCTCTAAAATATTCTCTCATTCAGTTATATAATAAATCATTTGAAATGCCAATTCCCCCTAACTTTCTCTGTACTTAAATGTCGCAGTTATAAGCCCATTCCATCTTGATGATCTGTTAACAATGGCATATGTCCTAAACGTGTCCAAAGTTTAATTATTTTATGAACACAGTACATAGTTTTTATTGGCAGCCAGACTTTGTGAAAACCATTCAAACACCAGCATTTGATATGTCAGTTCTAAAAACGAAGGGATGTGAAAAGTCTCAAGTTTTCAAAGCATACTAAGAGACATCTACCTTTTAATGTATTTCAGCCACTTCTCTGAAGCCCACATAGCTTGGGAGGACCAGGACAGCCAGCTCAGACTGATGTGAGTCAGTGCGGTGGAAGGCAATTCAACAAGCTAGAAAGAATTTGTAATGTGGAATTAGTTAGAAAGTCAGAGTGGGGTGGCAGTCATCCAGAGAACAAGTCAAGGTTAGGAATTAGAGACGGGCTAAGATTATGGATGCTCGATCTTCCTTTCCTATATCACATTGCACTAACTAATTAGGGCTACCATTTATTGAACAACGATGATGCACTGGGACCTTTGCTTGCACCAAAACATTTATCTCCCTGACAACCCTGTGTGCAGTTATTATAATTCTCGTTTGGCAGGTGAGGAGACTGAGCTAGCAGCAGGGTCAGGGCTGAAACCTGCAACGTACGTTTTGATTCCAATGTCCTCACTTAGTCCACTCACTCATCTTTTGAGAGAACTCCTGCCACTCAGGCTTATTTGGCTCTAGTGCACATTTTTCAGATTGCTGAAGATTCTTTCCATTTCCAATTATATAAATCATTCAACTGGATGACAGACTATTTTAGAGACAGTTATACCTCTCTTTCCACTGCCTCCCTAACCTTGGGCCCTGATGCCTTCCTTCCTTTCCTTTTCATCCTTTAACTTTTTACATTTTTAAATTTTGTCAGAGGGTGCATGTGCTTTCTGGAGAGAGAGAGCCAGAGAGAGGGAGAGGGAAAGTGAGAAAGCACTCCTCTGGAGAATGGCCACCCCCATATCCCTTCTCCTCCATCTCTCACTTCTTTGCAGATTTTAGGGCACACAAGCACATGTACCCAGGGCTTAAACTGTGTAGTTGGCCATGTGGGACCCAGCTGTCTTAACCACCATGCTATGGACTGGTCTTATTTTACTTTTTCAATCTATACACCTTTGGTCCACCATAGCTGGTTCATTTCTCTTTACACATCATTTTCCTGGGTCCTCAGTAGCATTTTCGTTTTTACAAAATTCCTTGGCACTCTGAGGCCAGTGCTAGGGCCTTCATCACAGCAAAGTCCCAGAGCTCCATAATTACTTTTTATTTTGAGGTGGGGAAACTTTTTCCCCTAAAGAGAATATATTTAGATGACTGTTGTCAAAATGTTAAATGTATATTCCCAGGTTAATTTTTGTTTGTTTTAAAATGTTGTTATCTATAGATTTTCAAAGGAAAAACATAGTTTTTCCTCTTAGAAATGGTAAAATGGTATGGTTGAAATTCATTGGCCTGGGAGTTTAGAGACTCATTCTATCCTAAATCATCTATACAGCCTTAAAATCACATAATAACCACTTTGAACTTTGATTTCTTAATCTGAAAAATCAGCCATGGCTTCACCAAATTTTAGGGGCTTAAATTTCTACAGAGTGTATGTAATAAACTTAATATAAGCTAGCATATCAGCTTGTCTTGGAGTGCTCTCTTAGTGTATGCATATTTGTATTTTCTTGTATTTAAACTTGGAGCTGAATTCTTATTTCGCTCATAATGAATGGAACTACCAAGGAGAAATAAACATTAGACACCTTTATATGAAACACATATACTGGCATAGTGGCTGAGGTGCTAGACTCCTGCATGGCCCACTGTGGTTTGCACCTCAAATCAGGGGGCTTGAAATGTCACAGTGGGGCAGGGGGCTGGCAGGTGGCATGGTGGTTAAGGCACTGGACTCCCACATGGCTGACCATGGTTCAAATCCTATACCTGGCAGCTTGCTTTTTCATCTCCCTCTCTGTCTCTGTCTCTCTTTGCTCAAATTGAATACTACTACTAATAGAGAAAAATTAAATAAATTAAAAAAAAAAAGAAAAATCACACTGGGCATGTGTGCATACATGCCCCAAAATCCCGAGAGGAGAATGGAGAAGAAGGGATTGTGGTGTGGTCATCCCCTTTATGGGGGGAAAGGGTGATTTTTCACTTTCCCTCTCATTGTCTCTCTTGTCTCTCTCTGGCAAGCACATGTGCCCTATGCAAAACCTTAAAAATAAATAAATAAATAAAAATAAAACACACCCCTATGCATACCACACAGTTATCACAACCACACCTGCACCTCTGAAACTAAACACAGGGTGAAACATTAAAGAACATTAAGCATTAAAGTGCTCACCCCTAAAAAGTGCTCTTATTCATCCATTCATCAACAAAATTTTATTGAGCAGTTGCTGTGCTAGGTATTGTTCTATCTGTGCTGTGGTGGCCATGTGACCCAGTGAGTTATGTAAGTGTCCAAAACTATCCTGACTAATGGAGAGAAATGGAACTGATTCTGCTCTTCTAGAACCTGAAAAATCTTTCCAAACTTTTCTAATTCATCCTTTCACTTTACAAATCAGGAAACGGAGAATGACTGGCAGAGTACATATTTTAAAATAAGCATAGTTGTAATTAATAGCTAGGTCAGTTTCTCCTAAAATAATGATTTGAAGCTTAATTCTGATGCAATAGATTTTGAAATGGGAGTTTAGCTAGAGGTCATTCATTAATTAAAACATGCTACATAAAAGATGGCCGTAAATTCTTTGATGCGCCTCCCTCCAAGAAGTGGAACACACCTTCTCTCATGTTGAGTGGGACCAGACTTGACTGCCTTTAACACGTATGATTTGATAGAAGTGACGGCATGTGAGTAGTCAAAGAAGACTTTGCTATTTGCTCCTTGCTTTCTTGGGTTGCTTACTCTGGGAAAAAACCAGCTGCCACATCATGGGGACACTTAGGTGGTCCGTGTAGAGGTTCAAACAGTTGGAACTGAGGCTTTGGAGACAAGACAGTGAGGGACTGAGATATCCTGACCACAGCCATCTTGGAAGTGGACCATCTAGCGCGGTTAAACCTTTGGATAATGAGTGCTTCCTCCAGCTGCCTTCCTAGTGGCAATCTGATCAGAGGCCTTGAGCCAGACTACCTAGTTAAGCCACTCCTGAATTCTCAGCCACACAAACAGTGAGATAACAAATGTTTGTCAGGGCAACACAGTGGCACTGTAGTAATGCCAGTGGGCTCACACAGGAAGGTTTGCTTCCTGGGCTCACTTTACATATGCCAGGTACACACGTGCCCATACTCCAGGCTGCTGAGGCTGAGGGTGGACTATAGTATAAGAACTCCGCTGAAGGTCTTTGTCTCTGTCTCTTTCACATGAAGGAAATAAATGTTTTAAAATGCTTGTTCTTTCTTTCTTCTTTCTTTCTTTCTTTTTTTTTCTTTCTTCCTTATCTTTCTTTCGTTCTTTCTTTCTTTCTTTTTCTTTCTTTTTTCTTCTCTTTCTTTTACTTTCTTTCTTTTCTTTCTCTTCCCTTCTTTTTTTTTTTTTTTTTTTTTCTTCTTTTTTTTTTTTTTTTTTTTTATAGTTTGCAATTGGGAGCATGCACTTATGAGAGAGGTGGGAGGGGTGAGAAATCACCCTCCAGGAGGAATGGTCACTCTGCAATCCTTCCTTCTCTATTTTCCTCTTGGGATTTTGGGCATGCACACACATACACCTGGTGTAATACCATGCAGTCAGCCATGTGGGATCCAGCTGCCTTAACCTCCATACCACCTGCTGGCGCCAAACTAGTTTTTAAAAAATATTTTATTTAATTTTATTCATTATTATTGTTATTAAAATTTGATCAGAGAGAGAAAGAGAGAGAGGAAGTGAGAAAGCGAGCCTCCAGGTCTGGCTATGTGGGAGTCCAGTGCCTCAAGCACCATGCGGTTGGCCAGTCTCTGACAAACTACTTTTTATACTCTATGATTCGGGGGCTGAGACTTTGTAAACCTGCATTTCTGTGTGTGTGTGTGTGTGTGTGTGTGTGTGTGTGTGTGTGGTTCTGCCATTAAAGTACACTAGAGAGAGACTTTAAGGCTGGAAGAAGATAAGGGATGGCACCTCAGCTGCGTGTCCACTTCCTGTTCCTGCTAATGAAGGCCAAGGTATTAGGGTTTCCCAGAGAAACATAGCCATAAGCTATATAAAGGCACAAGGTATCCTAGAATCTGCTTATCAGGAGGGAAAAGGCAGCAGGTTAGGAAGATAAAGGGGGGTCGGCAGACACTATGACTTGTTTTTATATTTTCTTTATAAAATATCAACAAATAGTTTGTTAATTCCTGTCCCTAAAACCAACTGGGCAAAATCATTGAAAACAACCATTTCAGAACTCTGGAAAGTAATGAAAAATATACAACAAATTGAACAGTATTTTTTTTTTTTTAAATGAAATGACTGAAATTTAATAAGAAGAGCTGAATCTGTGTGATTTTAACTTGGGGCTGCTCCTATCCCACTCCCAGCTCCATTGAGTAGTAGCCATGAAGAATGTTATGCTTGGGAACCAGCAGTTAGCGTAATGGCTATGTCGCTGGACTCCCACGTAGTCGACTACGGTTCGCGTCCTGGACCTGGTGGCTGAAAACTCACACCGGGCGTGTGTGCGTGCATGCCCAAGATCCCGAGAGGAGAATGGAGGAGAAGGGATTGCGGTGTGACCATCCCCCCTGGGGGATGATTTCTCGCTTTCTGTCTCTCTGTCTCTCTCTGTCTGTCTGGCGAGCGCACGTGTCCTATAGCAGAAAAAAAACCTCTCCAAAAAAAAAAAAAAAAGAATGTTATGCTTGTGGCTCTGAAGGGGGCTAGGGGGCTGCTATGATTTAGAAGTCCACAGAAAAAGCTCAGGCTCCAGGTGACCTCAACAACAGAAATCAAGAGAGAGATCCAAGAGACATGTGAGTACCTCTGTGAATCCTCTCACCAGTAAAACAGTCCTAACTGATGAAAATGAAACAAGCAATGATTTAAGGTTGGAAATTATCCTAAGAGCTCACAACAAGTAAACATTTTACTTATTTATTTATTTTATAGAGATTTTTGCTATAGGGTGCATGAGCTTGCCAGAGAGACAGAAAGTGAGAAATCACCTCCCAGGGTGGATGGTTGCTCTGCTATCCCTTCTCTTCATTCTCCTTTTGGAATTTTGGGCACACATGCACATGCTCCTAGTGTGAATTTTGAGCTGCTGGGTTTGGGACTTGAACCATGGTCAGCCTCATGGGAGTCTTTAAGCAGTACCTTAATCAGTATGCCACCTGCTGGCCTCAATAAATAAACCTTTTTTTTTTTTTCAAAAAATCTTCTAAATTTTAGTATTAGTAACAACCTGTGGCAATTGAACCATAAGATACTTTCATTCTCTTCCCCCTACCCTCCCCTGCCACTGCTAGTGTGCCCAAAATTCTGAGAGGAGAATGGAGGAGAAAGGATTGTGCTATGGTCATAACCCTGAGAGGTGATTTCTTGCTTTCATTCTCTCTCTCTTTCTTTTTCTCTCTCTCTCTGGCAACTGCATGTGCCCTATAGCTACAAATGTATAGTCAAAGAACTAAAGGAAATCCTTCTTTTTATTTATTTTTTTTTTAGAGGTCTTTGCCATAGGGCTCGTGCACTCGCTGGAAAGACAGAGAGAGACAGAAAGTGAGAAATCACCCCCCAGGGGGGATGGCCATGCCACAATCCATTCTCCTCCATTCTCCTCTCAGGATCTTGGACACACACGCACACATGCCTGGTGTGAGTTTAAGCCACCGGGTCTGGGACTCGAACCTTGGTCAACTACATGGGAGTCCAGCAACGTACCCATTACGCTAACTGCTAGTTCCAAGGAAGCCCTTCTTAAAGAAGAAGAGAAAGAGATGGTGACCATATTTCATCAGAGAGTATCAATAAAAAGGTAGAAATTATAAAACAAAATAACACCCAAGTAACCAAATGGAAATTCAGGAGTTGAAATGTATGATAACTGAAATGAAAAGTTAACTGAAAATGCTCAACAGTAGATATGAACTGGCAGAAAAACAGAATCAGAACACTTGAAAATAAATTATTAGCAATTATGCAATTCAAAGGAAGTAGATAGATCTTTAGAGAACATTAAACACAACAACATATATGTAATAGAGACATTAGATAGAAGAAGAGGAGGAAGAAACAAATGAAAAAATAATGGCTTAAATTTTCTCAAATGAAGAGCATTTATGTATAACATTGATTTATATATATAAGATGCTTAATGAATTTTAACTACAATAGTGTGAGGAAACCCATACCTAGACAGATTATAGTGAAAAGGTTGAAAGCCAAATCCAAAGTGAAAATTTGGAAAGCAGCAAGAGAAAAAAATGACTTGTCATGTAGAAGATGACCACAATAAGATTAACAGCTGACTTTTCATCAGAAACAGTGGCAAAGGCAGTAAGATGGCATGCTCAAAATACTGAGAGGAAAAAAATAAACCTGTCCACAGAGTCTTTAGAAAAAAAAATTGCCAGAAGCCATGTGTGCTCACATCTGGTGAGAAACAGAGAGACAGAGAGGGAAAGGGAAAACCAGCCTCCATAGGGTATGATGGTCCTGCTACAATTCCTTCTTCCCCAGCATTTTGGAATTTGGAGCATGTGCACACATGTGTCTGGCATGTTTCTCAAATTGCCAGGTTCAGGAGTCAAGCTGCCTGGTTGGCTATGAGGGATCCAGCTCCCTTCACCACCAGAACACAGGCCAGCCTGTAACAAGTCTTTATTTAGCAAAACTATCTTTTTAAAGTGAAAGGAGAAAAGAGACATTCCCAGAAAAGCAAGAGTGAGATATTCCACTGCTAACAGATCTCCTTTTTTTTTTTTTAATGGCAATATTTTCTTTTCTTAACTTCCTTTTAAAATAAATTATACTTTTTTTTCATTTATTAAAACTCATCACAAAACTCTCTGAAGTAGTTAAATCTTTATTCTTCAGGAATTATTCACTCACAGAGCATAGCACCATTTCATATTTTAAATCCCAAGGCTCTTATGCATTCCTTGTGGGCCTCAATTAGATGTCCACAGTGCTCTTCTTTCTTGATTCTTGATGATGCATGTATCCCAGCCTTATTGGTCTCTGGGCAAGTGCAGCAGGGTTTCAGCAGCTTCTTTTGTGATTCAGACAGGGCAGAGTTTGCAGCCCCCAGACCAGGCATCTTTTGGGCTGAAAGCAGCAAGTGCAGATACTCTCAACCTTCCTAGCCCTTGCAGATGCTAAATTCTGCTAACATATCTTTCTAAGAAATAAGAAGGGAATCTTTTCAGAGTTTCTGAAAGCAAATAACCCCAGACAGTAATTTGAATACTCCCACAACATACACAGAGAAACTATAAAATATAATTACCATAAATAATGAGAATTGACTATACATGATAATTGCTAGAACAATCACTGATTAAAAAAATATTTTTAATGAAATGAAAAATTCATTAATGAATTCTTAATGAAAATATCATTACAAATAAGTGTTACACTAGAAAATATTTGTTTAAAGAAAAATGGATCAGTAAAAGAGGAACAGAAATACAAAGATATAAGGAGCATATTGAAAACAAAAAGCAAAACAATGGCCTCACTTATAACATTAAATATGAATGGATTAAAAACCCAGTCAAAAGGCAAAGATAGCTAAACAGCTTCATAAGATCCAACTATATGTTAGCTACAGGAGATGTATTTTATATTTAAGGATACAAACTGGAAGTAAAAGAATGGAAAAAGATGTATAAGTCAAACAGCAATAACATGAAAGTTAAAGTTGTTATACTAATAACAGACAAAGTAAACATTAAAATAAATCGTGTAACCAGAACTACAGAGAAACATTTTCTAATGATAACATAATTAATCTATCAGAGATATAGCAATTTAAAAAGGGCAAGCATTTAACAATAGAAATTCAACATATGAAACAAAAACTGACAGAATCGAAACATAGACAATTTAATAATTGTAATTTGAGATTTCAATATGCCACTTTCAACAATGATTAGAATTTAGGCAGAAGATCAATAAGGAAATATTAGCTTGTTGGAAAAGCCATGACACATCTTTGCTTAGAAAAATATGTCATGACTTTTCTGACAACCCAATAGATGACTCCAATATTATAAACCAACCAGATCTCACAGATATCTACAGAAAATTCCACCCAACAACAGCAGAAAATATAATCCTATCAAGTATCGGGATAGATCATATACTATGCCATAAAATGCATCTTAATATATATAAAAGAATTGTTGTGGGACCAGCAGATGTGTGATGGTTATGTCACTGGACTACCATGAAATCAACCACTGTTTGAGTCCCAGACCTGGCAGCTTAAACTCACACTGGGCATGTGTGTGTGTGCGCCCAAGATCCCAAGGGGAGAATAGAGGAGAAGGGATTGCAGCATGACCAGGGGTGATTTTTTTGTTCTTTGTCTGTCTCTCTCTGACTTTCTGGTGACCACACGTGCCCTATAGCAAAAAATCTCTCTTTCTTAAAAAAAAAAAAAAAGAGTTGTAATTATGCAAAGTATGCTCTCTGATTACATAGAATGAAATTAGATATTGGCAATGAAAGTAAATTTGGGAGGGACCAGCAGTTAGCGTAGTGGCTATATCGCTGGATTTGGATGTAGTCGACCATGGTTCGAGTCCTGGAACCCAGTGACTTAAACTCATGCCAGGCACATGTGCGTGCGTGCCCAAGACCTCGAGAGGAGAATGGAGGAGAAGGGATTGTGACGTGGCCATCCTCCCGGGGGGTTATTTCTCACTTTCTGTCTCTCTGTTTCTCTCTGTCTTTCTTGTGAGTGCACATGCCCTATAGCAAAAACCTCTCAAAAAAAAAAAAAAAAGTAAATTTGGAAAATTTACAAATGTATGGAAATTAAACAACATACTACTAAATAGCCAACATATCAAAGATGAAATCACAGAAAAATGTAAAAATATTTTTAGGTGAATGAAAATGAAGGCAGCATACCATTTACGGGATAAATTAGTGCTTAGAGGAAATTTTATAGCTGTATACACTCATCTTAAAAAAGAAGAAACATCTCAAATCAATAACCTAATGTTCTACCCAAAAACACTGGAAAAACAAGAGCAAATAAACTAAACCAAACAAAATAAATAAAATATGAAGATACAAGTAAAAATAAAAAACAATAGAAAAAAATCAATGTAACCAAAAGAGGGCTCTTTGAGAAGATCAACAACATGGACAAACCTTTAGATAGACTAACCTAAAAAAAAAAGATGGTTCAAATTACAAAAATCAGGAATTAAAAAATAAATTATTATCAACCTTACAGAAATAAAAAGATTCTAAGAGAATACTGTGAACAGTTATATGCCAACAAATTAGAAAATTTACATGAAGCTGACAAATTCCTAGAAAGACAAAAAACTGTTTCAAGGAGAAATAAAAATTTTGACTAGATCTCTAACAATCAAAGAGGTTCAATTAGTAATTTTAAAACTTTTTACAAAAACAAAACAAAACAAAACACAAAAACTAAAAAAACCCAGGCCCAGATAGCTTTACTGAATTCCACCAGTTAAAGGAGAATAACAATTCTTCAGAAATACTCTGAAAAATCAAAAGATCTTTTAGAGATCACTTCTCAACTCCTTCTATAAAGCCTGTATTATTTTGGTGCCAAAAGCAGACAAAAAAGGCACAAGAAAACTATGGAACAGTGTATCTTATGAATATAGACACAAATATCTCAATTAGACACTAGCAAACCAAATACATTAAGTTATAAAAATAATTATACAGCATGACCAAGTAGGATTTATTTCAGGAATGCAAAGTTGGTTTAAATGTAAAAATCAATACAATACTCCTTATTAATAGAATAAAAGGTAAAACCCACATGATTATGCCAATAAACACCAAAAAAAAAAAGCATTTGACAAAATTCAATACCCTTTCCATGGTAAAAACACCCAACATAATACTACCAGGAGAAAGTTTTCTCAATCTTATAAATGCCATCTACAAAAACCACAGAGCTAACATTATACTTAGTAGTGATAGACTGAAAGTTTTCCCCCATATCAGGAACAAGTTTTCCCCCACTTTGACCACTGGTGTCCAAAACTGTAGTCTTTATACTACTGAATTCCAAAATTACGAAAACTTACGAACCTGTACAGACAGCAAACGAAGCCAGACCTTTCAGAAGCAGGAAAGATGGGGAAAAGCCTAATTATTAATATAAAGAGGCTAAAGGTTAAGTTTTTCTGTACTTCTCTCTTTAAAAGGATGTAAGGAGACTGGGGATGGGCTTATATGGGAAGTCTATACTTTATGCTCGCTTTTCCTGTGACTCTGAAACTGAAACTATTCTAAAAATAAAGCCTATGACTCTCCAGCTACCAGAAAAAAAAAAAAAAAAAAAAAAAACCCTTGTCCCCCCCACCTCCAAAAAAAAAAAAAAAAAAACAAACCAGAAGTTAATTGTTAATGTTCTATCCTAGAACAAATGTTTCCTTCCCTCTCACTGCCCTAGACTGGATACTCATGCTTATGAGGTTAGGGCAATCTCTCACGAGCATGTTGACAACATTTTCACAAACCCTGAGAACTTTCCCTCAGTGTACTTGAGGGGAATTTCTCAAAGTTCTCTGTGAAGGAACTCCAAAGGCAGAGAAGGGACCTCCAGGGCCTAATGGCATATCTAAAATAGGCCCTGCTAAGGGTTTAAATTCCTTGGCAGTCTTTCATTTTAAAAATGCATGCAAATGTTGCATTTCTTCCCATAGTATGATAAAATTTAGACTAATAAAATGGTTTAAAGTTATTTACTACTTATATAGTTTTAATTCCCCCCCCAATTAAGTAAAATAAAGCTATTAGAAATAAGTTGTTTAGTAGTAGCCTTCTCCTGACTCTAAATGTTGCCTCATAATTACCACTAGAAAAATTAATTGTTTTAATAATTTGAGAAGCACAAGCCTAGGCTATATTGCTTCAACAAAAGCAGCTCTCTTTTATTCCATTTATTTCCTCTTATATTAACATCGTACAACCACACTTTGAACCCACTGTGCTTATTCCAATGACCTGCAGATCCATGTGATTCAGGGCCTTGCACTCTAGCTTCAGCTTGTTTGTTTACACTGTGGCCTCCAGCCAGTTTTGTGGCCCCTGTCTGTGTTGTAGGCTCTATCCTATGACACAGGATTGATAATATCTGTCTGGGTTAGCTTGACAACTATTAGAAAAACAACATGAGTTAATGACGTATCTTAGGAATACAGAGCCTTTGTATCTCTACTATGCTAAGATCTGTGTGAGTATAGTAATTATTACGATGTTCCAACTGCACAGTTATCATCAAGGGTTTATACAGCCAAGTGATTTCACTAAGTTCTACATTGGAGAGAAGGTTTCCAAAATTTAGTTTAAGAATTCTGTTGTTTGTAGTTAAGGTTAATTTGTTACCAAATTAAAATGGACTTTTATAACCATGAAATGTTCTATGTAAGCCTCGTGGAAACGAAAAAGGAAAAAAAAAAAAAGAAAGAAAACCCATAGTAGATATATAGACGATAAAAGAAAGCATACTAGTACAATAAATAAATAAATAGTAAAAATGAAAATCACCAAATCATAAGGGGAGACAGCAAGAAAGAACTGAACAAAATAACTACAAAGTAGTTATAAAACAATGAACAAAGTGACAGTAATAAGTTTTTACCTATCAATAGTTACTTTAAATGGGAAAGGATTAAATTCTCTAATCAAGAGACATAGAATGACTAACTAAAAACAAGATTCAACTCTATGTTGCCTATAAGAGACTGATGTCAGCATTCCACTTTCACTATTGGGTAAGTAATCTAGACAAAAAATTAATGAGGAGACATCAGACTTGAACAACACTTCGGACCAGCTGGGCCTAACAGACATACAAAACATCCCATCCCACAGCAGTAGACTCCATGTTCTTTTTTATGTACATACAGAACACTGTCCAGGACAGACTGTATGTTAGGCCCTAAAACAAATATTAACACATTCCAAGTATCAATAGATTAAAATCATATCAAGCACTTTCTCTGACCACAATAAAAGGGAAACTAAAAAATTCACAGATAGCTTTCTGCGTCTGCTGCTGCCATGGTACCCATGAAAAAGCTTGTGGTGAAGGGGGACAGAAAAAAAAAGAAGCAGGTTCTGAAGTTTACCCTTGACTGCACCCACCCTGTAGAAAATGGAATCACGGATCCTGCCAATTTTGAGCAGTTTCTCCAAGACAGAATCAAGGTGAATGGAGAAGGGACCAGCAGATGGTGTGATGGCCACATTGTTGGACTCCCATGTAGTCGACCGCAGTTCAATTCCCAGACCCGGTGGCTTAAACTCACGCCGGGTGCATGTGCGTGCCTAAGATCCCAAGAGGAGAATGGAAGAGAAGGGATTGTGATGTGGCCATCCCCCCTGGGGGTGTTTTCTCACTTTCTGTCTCTCTGTCTTTCTGGTGAGAGCACACACCCTATAACAAAACCTCTCAAAAACAACAACAAAACAAAACAAAGCGAATGGACATGCTGGGAATCTTGGTGAAGGGGTTGTAACCATTTAAAGGAGCAAGAGCAAGATTACTGTAGCTTCTGAGGTGCCCTTTCCCAAAAGGTATTTAAAATATCTCACCAAAAAATATTTGAAGAACAATAATCTACATGATTGGTTGCTCGTAGTTGGTAACAGCAAAGAGAGTTACAGATTACGTTACTTCCAGATTAACCAGGATGAGGGCATGGTGGCGCCCGCCCTATGGCAGATTAACCAGGATGAAGATGAGGAGGAAAATGAGGATTAAAACTAATTTATCTGGAATATTTTGTATTAGGTCTTGAATAAAACTTGGGAACTGGGGCCAGCAAGTGGCACGGTGATTAAGGGTGTTGGACTCACATATGGCTGGTTCTAGTCCTGGAACTGGCGGCTTACTTTCTCACTTTCCCTCTCTCTCTCTTGCCCCTTGCTCTGTCCCTCACTGGTCAAACTAAAAATAAATAAATAAAGTTAAATGAAATAATTCTTTAAAAAAAAAACTTGGGAAATAAAAGAAAAAAAATTCACAGATATGTGAAAATCAAACAACACAATTTGAACAATCACTGGGTCAAAAGAAAGATAAAAAGAGAAATGAAAAATACCTTATGACAAATGAAAATGGAAACACTATATACCAACATTTATGGAATACAGCCAAAGCAGTCCTAAGAGAGAAGTTTAACTACAACAGGGAAAAAGAAAGAGAGGGGAACAAAGAGAGAGAGAGAGAGAGAGGGAGAGAGAGAGAGAGAGAGAAACTGCCCTGCTGTTGAGTGTGGTCATGCTGCAGTCCCTTCTCCTCCATTTCTCTATTCTGTCAGGATTTGGGGCATGTAGGCACATGTGCCCAGCATGTTTTTCAAGTCACTAGAACTGGGACTCAAATCATGGTAATCTATGTGGGATCTTACTCCCTTAACCACTAGGCTACCATGCTGGCCCTCCAAATTCTTTTCATAAAGCCAGCATTACAATACCAAAGCTAGAAAAGGTCACTAGAAGAAAAGAAAATTATAGGCCAATATCCCTGATGAGAATAGATGACAAAAATCATCAACAAAATACTAGCAAACTGAGTTCAAGAGCATATAAAAAGCATCATTCACCATAATTAAATGGAATTTTTCCCTGGTATTCAGGGATGGTTCAACATACAGAAATCTATACATGTCATATACCACATTAACAGAATGAAGGACAATAAAACATCTCAATAGATGCAGAAAAAGCATTTGGCAAAATTTAACATCATTTCATTGTAAAAATTTGCAACAACTTGGGTCCAGGAGGAATATATTTTAGCACAATAAAAGACATACATGGCAAGCTAATATACTCCACAGTGAACAATTAAAAGCTTTCCCTCTAAGATCAGAAAGAGAAGAATCATACTTACTCTTGCTACTGCATTCAGAATAGTACTGGACGTTCTAGCCCGAGTAATCAGGCTAGAAAAAGAAACTAAAAACATCCAAGTCAAAAAGGAAGTAAAATTATCTCTGCCAACCAGTGACGTAATATGTAGAAAACTTTACTGTAGCACAATGCAGTGTGAAGGAACATGCCCTGTAAGGGGTGAGGAAAAATGGGCAGAAATAACATCTTTTTATTTTCAATATTTTACTTTAGAAATTATTCACTGGGCGCCGGCAGGTGGCATGGTGATTAAGGGCATTCAGACTGCGGTTTGAGTCCTGGACCTGGCAGTTTGCTTTCTCACTTTCCCTGTCTCTCTCTCTCTCTCTCACTCAGTCCCTCTCTGGTCAAATTAAAATAAATAAAATAAGTAAAGTTCAATAAGATAATTCTTAAAAAAAGAGAGAAATGATTCACTGAATCTCTGTGCCTGTCTCTAATGTGGCATGATCACAGTCTTGATACTCATGCAGCTATACAGACATGTGCCTGGAGGGACTGGCATCAACAAATGTTTTTTTTTGTGTGTGTGTGCATGTATGTGTGTCTATGTATGTACATATATTTATTGTATTTCATATATATTTAGTGTAAGTTCATATTTATTTATATAATAGCACATATAAAAATATATGAAATACATATTTATTTATAAAAATAAATATATATGAATATACACTAAATATATATGAAATGCAATAAATATTTGTATATATGTGTGTGTATATATGTGTGTGTATACATACGTGTGTTTATATATTTATTGTATTTTATATATCTACGCACACAAACACACATACATAGATATGAAACACATCATGTATATAGTCACTTGTTGCCTAATAACGTTTTGGTCGATAATAGACTCCATACGCACAGTGGTGGCAATAGGCTGTACATATAGTTTAGGTATGTAGCAGGCTATACCACCTAGAGTTGTGTAAGCCTACCGTATGATGCTTGTATGATAAAAGCTCCTAATGATGCATTTCACAGAACATATCCATGACTGTATACATATTTATATCCACACTCTATCTTCTAAATACACCTGTATATAGAGAGATAGACATCTCTATAGCCTTATGCAGGGCAGTGCATTTTGAGCAAGGTCCATGTGATGTGGTGGTGGAAAGTCACCTTGCAGAAAGCTGCACTGCCACCACTTGCTGCCCTTAGTGTCTTGATACCTATTCCACATACTTTGCTCTTCTGTCTTATCTCTTTCTTCATTAGGCATGTGGGACTCTCCTGAAGTTGTACCACTTATAGCCTGAGATTTAATTTAAACCG